GCTCTCCTCTCTGATTCATAGGTTTTTAAAGCCCAAAGAGACAGGTGTAATCATGTAATTTGGCTTCTCAGGTGGCCAAGAACTACCTCACTCCATTCCGGTGCCTGCTCTCCATCTTCTCTTTGAGATAACTCATCCAGTTTTGGAGTAGCAAGAGCTGGAACACCCAAGTATGCTCTAATGATCGTGCTCTCCCATGCAGGTCTGCAGCTCATCTCCGGTTCCAGCATTAGGTAGCTGCAGGTTTTCTGCTGGGTTGAAGAGTCCTTTGCTGTCAGAAGCCTCATCCCCACAGTGGGAACACCAGCCCAGCTTGAGTGGAATGAGCTGTCACAAGACTCTTGAGTTCATGCTGTATTTTGTGGTGCCAGTCAGTGTTTCCAGGCTTCAAGTCATCCTTGTTGCTCCCTTCTTCAGTCCTTCTAATTCTTTGGTGTCCTTCTTAGTGACACTCAGATTTCACACAGTGGGTTCACTATTGTGATACAGAGGAGAGAAGGCTCCAGGGAGACCTTCTAGCAGCCTTCCAATACCTGAAGGGGCTAAAGGCAGACTGGGGAGGGTCTTTGGACAAGAGCAGGGAGTGACAGAACGAGGGGTGATGGCTTTAAACTGGAAGAGGGGAGATTGAGATGAGATCTGAGGAAGAAATTCTTTCCTGTGAGGGTGGTGAGACACTGGCACAGGTTGCCCAGAGAAGTTGTGGCTGCCCCCTCCCTGGAAGTGTTCAAGGCCAGGCTGGATGAGGCTTTGAGCAACCTGGTCTAGTGGAAGGTGTCCCTGCTGATGGCAGGGGTGTGGGACTGGATGATCTTTAAGGTCCCTCCCAACCCAAACCATTCTGTGATTCTATAATATAGGGGAGAAACTTTTTCTGCCTGCTTGGTGAATGCAGGGTAATGCATCCCAGTGGAACCCGTCTCCACAGATGAAGAATTAGGCAAGTACCATTCATATACTTGGTTGCCATCTCCCAATCCCCCGATTCTTTTTGGATTCCCTCCAGAGTTTCCAGAAAACAGTGCTCCATCTTGAGAGAGCACAAACTACATTTATATTTCTGGCTGAATGTCTTTCTGCTTTCAGTGCAGTCAGAAGTACTTGTTGTTTATAAATAAGCACCACACCAATTGTTAGGGACTGTTCTGCACATCTCGTCTTTTTCCATCATTTATCACTTTTGTTGTTCCTTGGGTCCTCCGAAAGCTTCATCAGCCCTAGTTTAATATCGTCTTTCAGATCATTAATCAAGTCACTAATGAGCATTAGTTTCAGAACAGCAAGCTACGGGAAATAATTTTATATTCTGGAGTCTCCTTTTTCCCCTCATTACCTGAAATCTATCAGTGAACTGAAATTTATAGTATCGGCCCTTTTGTTGTTTTAATCATTATTTATTTTAAACCAGAGCACAGTCTTGTGAGGTTATGTAAGCCACCTTGTGCTGGTGTAACCCTTCACTTTAGGTCGCTGTAGTGCCTTTGTTAACCCACCCATGATTTAACAGAAAATATTGCAGCTGGTGGACAGGAACAATTTTGAGAAAAGTGAGATTGAGAACATTGTAAAAACTGATACACTCCTTTTTATATTTAGTTTAATGTATTTTCTATCTCTTGACTTCATGTCAATTTACCTGGTTTACAGCTGTGAGTATCATCTCATTTGCTGTTTACAAATATTGGTACAAAGTTCACTTTCCCAGGCTCATCGCATTTCCTCAGTACTCTACAATGCTTTAAGAAGTGCAGTGAAAGGTGGACAGAGCTTCAGGGCTACCCACAAAAACATTTCAGGACAAAGTTCCCACTAGCTCTAATGGTTTGTATTTTCATGATAAATTTTCAAATACGGGAAACTCACTCCAGGTGCCCTACCTGCTCCTTAGCAAGACCCAGAAGTAGCACTGAACTCCATCGCTTTGGTGCTTCCACTAGTCCCACTGGAAGGTGACCGCTGTGGGAGGAGGAGTGAGAATGGACTTTGTCTCCATTGGATGGATAAGGATGACTTGGAGTGGCACCCTATGCCTCTTAAACAAACCCTGTTTGACTTTCATGTTGGGAACATCCAACTTTCTCTTTCTTCATTCTGCTGGAATTGCTGGCACAGAGATCTCAAGAGACTCACCCCAGGCCTTCCCTTTGCCCTGACACAGCAGGTGGACTACTTTTAACAGGAAACCATTTCATTTGTAAATGGAACTTTGTGGCAAGGGCAAAAATTAACCTGACGTTGGTGTGGTCTAAATGCCAAAGTTGGGGTGGTGTAAAAGAGGTGGGCTTTCTGACTGCATAGGTGCTCTTGGTTTTGAGCAGCTCAGTTAGAGCAGAGCTGCGCACATAGATGTGGGCACCTGCTTGAAACAACTCAGAGCTTCTCAGAGCTTGTCTAAAGACAGAGGAAGAGGAGTAAACTCTATATGCTCTTCCTTGGGATTAATAACCTATGTCAGTGATCAGTGGGTGGATTTTCATCAAAGCAGACCCAAGCACAACTTGGGATCACTCAGCAAAAGGCATCGATGGCAGCGCATCTCGCTCTCACTGGGGTACAGGTGTCCCCTCTTTCTCCTTGCCTTCACATTCCCTCCTCAAGAGTCCCTCAAGTGCCCAGATTAATACCAGCCTGGAGCAGCTGAGAAGGCTTCTTCAGCAGAACCCTGAGCAGCAGATAAAGAACTGGACTTCCAGGAGTCCAGGGAGGCTTACTATCCCCCTTCACTGGGATAAAACTTCCCACTCCCTTGAAGTGAGAGGTTAACATACCAAGTCACCCCTGGGACTAGCAACGGGGGTACCCGCCCACTACACTTCCCGTACTTACTGTTTGGTTTGGGATCTCTAAAACTCGCTCCTGTCTCTGCTTCCCAGCCTTAATACAAGGTCCTCCTCTAACCGGACTTCTTTTGCATTTCCCTAGACCACCAGAGCCTTGTCATGCCTCGAGAAGGCCAAGATCTTGGAAACAACTGTACAGCAGTTAGCAAGGCTCAAGCAGCCGGGTAAATCACACCCCCGTCACGACTGCAAGAGCACACAAGAGTCCTAGGTCCATAAGCAGGATGACACCCAACAAGGTGTAGAGGCTGAATCCAGATAAAAGGATTAGGTCAAGATTAGGAATTCCATGCCCAAAGAGGAATAGATCCTCACATCCTAAAGGTCCAAGTTAATCCCCACCACCACCATGCCCATCTCCCTATTCTCTTTCTCTTGAGACATTGCCTCAAAGAATAGCCAGGACTTCAGGGCTGGTTAGCACCATCTCAATGCTGTAAGCACCTTCCTGAGCTCAGTTGGATCAAAATACCAGGTCCCCCATCTTGCAGCAGCTCAAGACTACCACTGGGATGAGGGCTGCTCTTGCTCCAGTTCCTTCTTTCCAAGTCTGGCAACCCCAAGATGACTTGTCTTCCACTAAGCCTCTCCCAAGCCCTGCTTTTTTCCCTTGGAGCTCCTCCTTCGGCCTTGCTCTCTTCAGGGCCTGCCTTGACTACGACATCTGCAGAAACTCATTCTGCTCCCAGGGACAGCAGGCTTATCCCACTTCAACACTTCACTGTCTCAACTGAGGTCCCTCCTTTCACTCACCCAAATGCCAGAGACCTCTCCAACTGCAACCAGACCTGAAGCCATCACCTGAAGACCAGGACTCCTTGCTGGGGTTTGCTATGGGAGAGAAGAGTGTAGGAGCCTGCCAGCAGCTAAGGGTCTGCCCTGCACTTCCTTGAAGGACGAACACGTGTAAACTCTGCCCTAAGCTTTCAGGGGCTGGATTCTGCATCTTTTTTCCAGGGCAAGATAGTCTGTCCTCAGCAAGGTGTCTGTCCCTCTGTGCCCAGAGGCACAACATGGGGACACAGGGCAGGATCCCAGCACACCGCTTCCAAGTCTAAGTCATGCATCAACTTCCTGCTTTGTGTTTCCACAAGTTGATGATCCCAGGAGAATTTCCTAGTCCTATATTCCTAACACCTCTCGAGTTTCACCTACTACTGAAGGAGTGAAGAAAAGGTTGTTTGTAACGACATCAGCCTCAGCTGCAGAGAAACAATGAGAAAATAGTGGAAACACTCCCTGGCCATGCAGGAGCCCCAGAGGCCCAATTCAGGGCTGCAGAGATGACCAGGCAGCAAGAGACCAACCCATCTCCCTTGAGTGCACAGCAACACTACAGCAACTAAAGGGTATTTTTGCAAACAGTGTTTTCTTGGGTCTTCTCTCATAATTCCCATGTTGAGCATGACCTCACTTTGTAACTATACGGGAAGGCTATATGGCTACTTTCTACAGGAAAATAAACCCTGAGAATTAAACACCAAGTTTCTCCTCAACAATTTCCCAGGGATGTGAAAGAGGTTACTTCATTCCACAGGAGGCACAATTAGGTCAGCTGAAGGTAAAGACTGATCCAACAATTCTTTACAGCTTGTTTCTTTATTCAGTAAACATCTAGTTACAAGTTTCACAAATTAAAAAAAGTGGGGGAGCTGATTGAAGAGGGGTCGGGATGGGG